GGTGGCTCGATATAGTTATCACAAAAACCCTGCTCACTAAAAGTCGCGAACTCAAAACCGGGTGATCATTTTTACGCGCAGGTCGTGGAAACTGATTAACAAAATGAAAGAACTTCTAAAATGACCTGACGTGAGCAGTTGCTCGCGCCATATCACGTCATTGCGTGTGTTCTATAGTGTTTTATGTCAATTGCTGACGTCATTAGAATTTCCCATTATAGAAAAACAATGCGCTATATCTCTTTATTTTGTCTGGTGACCTATGTTCAAATTTTGCATGCTGTATTGCACCGCTAAAGACTTTCATTATACAAAAAATAAAAAAATTCTGTAATGCCAAAAACATTTTACCGAAGAATATGACATTTTCGCATTTTCCAAAAAAATGGCATTACAGAATTTTTTTATATTTTGCTAAATGTTAGCTTTTCGTCGAAGTAACATGATGCACGAAAAAAAATTGGGGGTCACCATGCTTTTTTTCCAACTATACGAGGCGATAGGCCATTTTGGAGTGAATTTCGTACACGTATGTCGTCATAGCAACGAACTATCTGTTACTAAGACTTATATAATTTGAAAGTTGAGATATCAAAATATATAAAAACCTCAATATCTGCTGAATAAATCCTAAAAATGCGTAGTTTGAACATGTCAAAGTGTTGAACACCTGAATTTTTGAAAACTGTATCGAGCCACCTTCAACGATCAATTCCTTTTGAAAAGATCAAAATTGCTGATATCAGCGTTATTTTGGAGCGCTCTCAAAAATCTGTTCTAGACAAAATTGAGGTAAAATGCTTGGTAAAAATCAAAACGGGACCACTTAACTGCTATACAGGTGTATGTACCACAGAATACCGCAAAAATTTACATGTTCCATATCTTTTGTCTAATGTATATAATATGGTTCCTTAATATTTTTTAGTATAGTCTAACGATATATTTTTTCTTCCTGGGGGTTTTGGGGCAAGATTTCATAGACTTAATTATTTTTTTTAAATGAATATTCTGTGGAAAAATTCCAATGTACCACAGAATACCAGTGCAGAGGTAAGTAAGCAACCGTTTATCGAATTGTACCAGGATTTGGTGTGTCATGTTGTATGATAATACTGTGGGATATTGCTAACTTAATTTAGTGAAAGTTAAACATTAAAATCAGTAAAGAATACCAGTGGTATAACCAAAGAATATCAGGTTTATCAATAATTTTGAAAAATTCAGTTTTTCAATGGTAAAATTGATTATACTGTGTGATTCCAGTGTAGTAATAATGTTGTGTTGCATAGAAAAAGTATTGATCAACATAAATTATACTGGTTTGCGAACTTATTTTTAAACATTCTGATTTTACAGGCATTATACGAAAAAAAAGTACAAAAAATATAGAATGTTACGTCTTGTTAATCCTGATTATATTTAAGAATTTTTAAGAAAATACACATTTTTTGTTTTTATATGTCAATTAAGACTGTAATATATAATCACAAAAATAAAGTTTATAGCATATTTCCTTCAAATTTTATATAAGAAATAAATAAGACTGGTATTCTGTGGTACCGTGGTATTCTGTGGTACATACACCTGTAAACAAGAATTTAGAGATTTTAGATCAAACTCGCTCTTATTTTAGCATTTCAATTTTTTGCCCCCCCAATAAACTCGTTCCCTTTCTTCGACTGTATTAAGATTACGATGCCTCCTCTAGTGTTATTTATAATCTCTATGCAATGACCAGTAGGCCTAAGCCAAATTGAGCCCGCAATCTTTTCAAAAATCTGAAACCTTATATTATCATGCTGGAGAAAAATCGTATTTAAACGCACGTAAAAAATCCGATATTTTTACGTGTGAAAATATCATTTTTGCAAGCCAATCAAAAAGCGCGTAGGAAATATGTTTGACCAATCAGAGAACTTGTTGTAAAACGCATTGCCACGGATGTTTTACTGTTTTTCAATTATCGCTTTTCTGTAGAAATTATCGCCTTTCAAAGACTGTCCTTCATATAATAAACAGAAAAATACATGGATGCTTGGAAATACCAGATTTATTTCTCGTGTTGAAAATGATACTCACTCGTTCGCTGCGCTCACTCGTGAGATATCATGTTCAACACTCGAAATAGATCTGGTATTTCCGCGCACCAACAGGCTTGATGACACTGCAAATCCCAAAATAAATGTTTTTCCGGGACCATTCACCAATTTCTCACCCTCTTGATCTTCTGGATGTTGAAGGTAGCTATTAATCTCATTAAGGTTCTCCTCCAAGTCATCATTATTTTCCAATGTTATTGAACTCATGCAGTGCCTTCCAAACTTGTTTCTTGAATTCAAAATGTCATAAATATTGTTAAAAATTAATATTCTCAACAAACGGTGAAGTTTGATCACTCGCTTGAAACTTTGGTATGCCAATTGCCTTCAAATATCTGATACCAGATGCAACCGAGTTGCTTAGTGTCTGTGCTGCCACAGCAACGTTCATCTGTACATTGTGCCAATGAATGTGCTTACACTTCAATTTATTTCATAGGTGTAAAACATCGTCTTTCTGTGTGTTGTGCAGCTGTGTGATGAGCTGCCAGAATATGGACGGTTGGCCATTGATATAAAATATGCCTTTGTCTCCCAGGCCATTTATGGCTAACTTCAACATGTGGCAAACGTCAAGGATCACATAGAGCAGTTTGGTTGGTCTAGATGGGTGTGCAAATGATCCCACAATAGCATTTATGTTGCATCCAACACCTCTAGCTATCGCTAAATTTTTGTAACAGCCATCAAATAAGACAGCATGTACATCCAAGCCTGCATCGGTTAGTAGGTTGATTGATTCCATTATTATTTGTGTTTTTGTGTTTCATGTCAATCCATTTACCAAAAAGAATGCAATCCGATAGTTCCAAGGTTGTTTCAGGTCAACTGCCATGACGACAAGGTCAACTGCCATGACGCCTGGCGCACCAATGTATTATTCTCTATTTATTGTCATTTGTTTCGATATTATATTTTGCTTATTGTGTTGGTTATTGAGTTTTACCCTGTAATGACTATATATATATACATGTATATACCGGCGTTACAACATCACTTCGTAAACTTGATGAGAAACATTGAGAATTCTTCGAATTTTTTTCAATTGTAAAACGTGTAACAACATGACAACTTTAAATACTCCATGTTCGGAAAATACAATGCCAATGGTTTTGTCAGCAAGGCGAGGGTTTCTGCATGCATATATTTTCAATAATGCATATATTTTATATATTCTTTAGAAGAATACTGATGAGACGGCATCTATTGTATAGTGTTTTATCGTATCTAAAATCTCGTGCTGCGCACTCGTAATAAAATATGATAAACAATTCCTATGACAATGCATGTTTTAAATAGTACATAAAGAGATTTTGTTACGAAGCAGTTCAAACAAAGATAGTTTGACAAATAGTATACAGAAATTTCCAAATCACTCGGTTACCATGCATATATCGGCGGCTAAATTGCATGCCAGGTTGAACACAAAGTATTCTTCAGACGTTCGGAGAATCCAAGCGATTCTTTAAACATCGCATTTGCAACAAAACGTTTATTCAACACGTGAGACGCTGTGAACCGTATTATACAACCCGAAATTTTTCACTAGCTGCCATTTGACGACTTCGAATTTGCAGCCAAAGCTAAACGGCCTAAATTCCAATACACCACGACTATATTGCCAACCGGTCCTTCGACAATTGAACATCGTACGCGATGGATAAAGGTTGGCAGTTGACGTACGAGGTACATTATGTAAGTTTTGGAATGGCATTCTTACTTCTCGCAGGTTTGTGTCTTCGCGCCTCAATTCGTGCTCGTAACACGTCATTCTTCGCAAAATCTCGCGTCCACTACGCAGTAAACACAGTTTTCGTTATTTTTTCTACGAGTCGAGCATTGATCTTGCTGCTACATCGATACGTAAACGAAGAAGCGATCCAATCATCTTTAGTCGAGCGATTTTTATTTAATATTGGTTTCCCATGTTTAATAACTGCATACACTCGTACGTGTTACCATTGTCAGGAATGGCTAAAAGATCACGCGAGGCTTGTGTTTTGTTTGGTAGCGTCGCAATTTTACTTGTTCATCGCCGCAGATATCTTAAAAACAATGGTTTCTTATGATGAACGTGTAATCCTGAACATCGATCATGTACTGATTTTCTGCTCTTTCTTGTGCGGACTGTGTGCCATAATCGTTTATGCCAAGATCTTCTGCAGCGATTCTTCTGTAGATATCATAGAAGGACAAGACGGTGGAACGGAGGCCAATGTCAATGATATGAATAAGACGAGAAGTTCAAATACTGTGCCAATCCGCGTTACTTTTGCAATATTGTGTATTGGGATCTCTTGTGTTGTGATCAAGCTTTGTATTATGGCGGAGATTTTGAAGGTTTGGCATGGCGACATGGATATGGAGAGTTGGGATTCATTGATGTATGCAAACATACTTCGTATGATCGAGTTGGGAAATGCTGCCATGATGTCGTATTTCATACACTGCACCACACTCAGACGAAAGTCGTTGTTGCAGTAGATTGTTGCTGTATTAAATGTGTTGTAGTTCTCAAGCTTTTGTAGTAAGAAAAGTATCTGAACTTGTATATGCAAACATACTTCGTGCGATGGAGTTGGGAAATGCTGCCATGATATCGTATTTCATACACTGGACCAAAGTCGTTGCAGCACACTGTTGCTGTAATTAATTAGTGTGTTGTACTGTAGAGGGTGTATAAAAAAAGAGACCTTTAGAAATCAACCATATTGTTAAAATTTGAATGCCTTTTCAAGTGCACATGCATATGCTGAACCGTAGTGCGTGAAATATTGATGGGGTGCATATATTAGAAAAAGGAGACCTTTAGAAATTGAAATAACGTTTAAACAAAAAGATTGTCTGCTCCTGGGAACAATCTGCCATGCATACTGTACGTAGATCGCATGTTACGCACTCGTGGGCTTAGCAAAGTGCTCCAGGATTCAAATTATAACAATGGTTGATTTCTAAAGGTCTTTTTCTAATATATGCTGCACTCATCAATATTTCACGCACTACGGTTCAGCATATGTGCAATTGAAAAGGCATTCAAATTTTAACAATATGCTTGATTTCTAAAGGTCTCCTTTTTTATACACCCTGTAGTTCTCAAGCTTTAGTATTCAGAAAAGAGCTCCCCAGCGGAAATCTGAACTCCCCCAACGGAAATCGAACCCGATTGCCGGAATTCAAATAGTTGCTTTTCTGAATTAATACAAAAGCTTGAGAATTACAACAACACTGAAGCCTGTTTTCCACTTGAATCGTAATATATATATAACTATAATCTACAGTTTATAGAAATGTTGAAAATGCGTAAACTAGATCACCTTTTTGAAGAGATGATGCTCTTTACAAATCGAAATTTGTATATTATATATACAGCGACAATCAAACAGTCGAAAATTGGTCAGAAAAGTGACGTCACCACTGTTGCTATGGCCGATATTTTGGCTTTTTTTAAATTGGCCAGATAGTGCATTGCACTATAAGAAAATGTTTTCTGAAATAAAAAATGGGGGTAACCGACCTTTTTTTAAAGTAAAATGCGTTCAAAGCCAAAATATCGGCCATAGCAACAGTGGTGACGTCACTTTTCTGACCAATTTTCGACTGTTTGATTGTCGCTGTATATATAATATACAAATTTCGATTTGTAAAGAGCATCATCTCTTCAAAAAGGTGATCTAGTTTACGTATTTTCAACATTTCTATAAACTGTAGCGAGCCACCTTAATAAACATTTTCATTCTTTACGTTTCGACTATTAATTTAAGTCATCTGCAGAAGAATGCAACGTATTTGAAACTAATTTTCCGTTAGTTTAATCCCCGAGCCAACGGCGCTGAGCGCCGTTCCGGGCATATGATGCATGATTTAGGGTGTATTATCAAGTATATACTCGGGTAACAGTGTTACAAGTGTTACATTATCTTTATTTAGGGGTAGGGTTAGGGTCAGTGTGTGTAACACTATGTAACACGGTGGGGTTAGGGGTAGTGTGTGTAACACACTAACACTAGTTATGTAACACTATGTAACACGGTGGGGTTAGGGTCGGTTAGCGGTGGGTTAGGGGTACGGTTAGTGTGTGTAACGCTATGTAACACTATTTAACACTATATGTAACACTGTCAACACTCTGTAGAACTATGCAGCACTATGTAACACTGTGTAACACTATGTAAGAATATGTAACATTCGTTAAAAGGTTTGAATCCAGGTTCATTCATTTTTTGTTTGTTTTACGCGAAGACAATCACGCAATCGTGCAGCTGACGCAAGATAAACATCAACGGATAAAATGAACAAACGTTCAAGTCTTCGAAAATGGTTTTCGTATAGGAAACCGAAACGTCAGACAAAACTTAATTATTTAATTTTGTAATAATCTAGAAGAACAATAAAACAAACAAAAAATATGTAACATTGTTTAACACTGTGTAACACTTGTAACAGTGTTACAACTGATCGAGTGCCATAATAAAGCCACCCTAAATCGTGCATGGTATAGTTCCCGGTGTAAGCCCGGGGCACGTAGAAGGGACACTCCTTTGATGTTAGGCGGTCGCGCCGACATATACCTGCATACACCCGCGAGCGAGCGGCGGCCATGTTCTTAGGTAGTATCATAGGTAGCCCAACAATCAGTGTTATTAATTCATTTCTGTTCAATAAAATCATACTACTACTTAGTCCCCGACTGAATTGTTTACGCGCGGTCAGATGATATCCCTATAGTAATATATGCTACTATAATAATAAGCTATAATATACAGGGTGTCTCAAAAAAACCCAAAATCATTGAAATAACGTATTGTTCGAATTTCAATGCCGTAACACAAAGGATTTTGACAGGGTGATTAATTTGTTTTAAAAAATTAAAATATCTTTGTAAAGTGAACGTTTGTTTGCTCATGGGAATTTAAAATGCTTCGTAAATTGTAATATGCGTAATATGCATTCGTGGGTTTAGTACTTTATGCCTGACATAACAAGTTTACGCTGAGTATTACCATTCATTATAGCAGTTATGTCAATCTTTTATGCACTCGTGGGATTAACTTAGTGCTAGGGCATTGAATATCGAACAATACGTTAAAAAAAAGGTAATCGAACTTCAGCGCGCTATTGTATCCGAATTACTCTGCGTATGAACGAGATTTTAACACATTCGGAAAGATCATGCTTTTAGCTGTTGAGTGATATCTTCTTCATGCCAAATGGATAAAAAATGAGCAAATACGAATCCGATAAAAAATGTTAGTCAGAATCGCATATTTTCACAGTTGAGAGTTGGATGTAAAACCATTGAAAATGAACTCCCTTTGGTACTTAAGTTGATGAATTTCACTTCATTAAACTACGCACATATTCATATTTATTATTAAGCTACGACACGGTAGTGATGAATTGCTTTTTCTTTTGTTATGCATTGTTTTAATTAGGCACAGAGGTGAAAATATGCGATGATTTTGACTAACGTTTTTGATCGGCCTCGTACATGCTTATTTTTTCTCCACTTGGTATGAAAAGCATGTCATTCAATAGCTAAAAGCCTGATCTTTCCAAATATGAAAACCAATTGTTCATACGCTGAGTGATTCACGTATATAATAGCGCGCTGAAGTTCGATTACCTTTTTTTTATACACCCTGGTACAGTATATATATATATATATATATATATATATATATATATATATATATATATATATATATATATATATATATATATATATATATATATATATATACGAGTAGGTTTATGAATACGAAACGCAAAGAGTGCTCAATATCATAAAGATAGAGCAAATGTAGAATTTCGCTTACCTCAAAATTCCGCAACAGTCTGTTTCATCAGTAAAGAATCATATATATATATATATATATATATATATATATATATATATATATATATATATATATATATATATATATATATATATATATATATATGATATGAGAGCAAAATACGGATATACTTTAATCTACTAAATGGTTGCATCGCCTCCCCGCTGGTACAATGTTGCTATCTCAAATGTCGACAAAGTTATAATCATGCCTCGAGTGTTCACCAACATTGTACCAGGGAAAGGGGGATGGATTTTCGGAGGATATTTTAGGGATATAGTGCAAAACTCTTCGTATTTAATGTTTTTGTCCGACTGATTTTGTCCACGATTGTGGTTTGTTTTTTTCTGTTAGTGCCAACTGTGCTTATCAAGTTATCATAGGAAACTCATGTTCATTGTTCATCTGTGCTAATTATTACAGGAAACTTATGTTCATATATCTTTATCATATATCAATAGTTTAATTAAATTGACAATATTCAACTACTATTTTGTATTATCTTTTCCATCAGCAATACCATGCCATAGTGTAACTGTTACACTAATCGTTCAAATTATCGAAAATTAAATGCTGTGCTTCTACGTACTCGTTCATTAGTGCACCTAACCTCAACTATTTTTATCATCTCATTCTTAAGAACTTCTGGAATGATATAATAACTTATTTTTAAGATTTTCGAGATATTTCAGTTTCTTTGCTACGCAAATATCCGGAATTTGCGTCACAAATGCATAATGATTTTTAAAGTAAAAGCTTGCATATCGTATTCACTATCGAGTTTAATTCATTAGAATGAAGTTTGGAGTTGTGGGAGGATTACATACCTATTAGTCTAGGACCTGTATATAAGTTTGTATGCGTTTTATTTACCACAGGTAATCTCAACTGTTTTATTGTAAACTGACCATGGCGGTCAACATGGCATATGTGCCAAAACCTGAATCCGGGACGAAAGTCCTGAAAATGACCCCGCCCTGAAATGGCAGTGCCGACATAGCTCTAACTTCCGAAAAGCAAAAGCGACAGCCTTTCTGAAGTGCTTATAGTGTTTAGAAGGGTTGCTCTTAGGGATTGTTATTGGAAGGAAAAATTTGTGTAAGTAAATATTTTACAAGAAAATCACCATTCATCACCCCAAGGTAAATTGCTAATTATGCATAAAATAACTAATATACATGGCAGAAATTAAATCCTAAAATCCTTATTTCCTAAAAAAATTTATCATGGGATGAAAAACTATGCTTAACTTAATATAATTATTGTAGTTTTCATAAGGATAGTCACTGTTTTCTATGAATATAATATATTTTATTTCACTTACCCACAGGCGGCCCAATCTCAGAATGAATGATCAGGTGTTGCGGGTTTTTAACGGGTTTTATAAACAAATTTATAGTCAACCAAACTATTCTAAAAACATTCTCAAATTAGTCAAATAAATACAGTTTAACAATAAAATATAGTTGACATGATAGTATAATACCTTTGCATTCTTTATATATAATATAATGAGCACACACAATGTAGGCCACAGAAAATGTTGCATCAACCGCCCTAAATGAGCTCATGGAGTAATTAAAAGAATGTAAAGGTATTATACTATCATGTCAACTATATTTTATCGTTAAAATGTATTTATTTGACTAATTTGAGAATGTTTTTAGAATAGTTTTGGTTGACTATAAATTTGTTTATAAAAACCGTTAAAAACCCGCAACACCTGATCATTCATTCTGAGATTTTGCCGTCTTGTTTGCTTTATACAGGGTTTATTTTAACGTGCAATTCTACACAAAATGTGCAGTTCTAAACCCATTCGTGCAGTTCTTAAAACACAAATGTGCAGTCACCAAACTAACAAAAATAGCCTAAATTAAACAGTCTTCTCATTTACTCGTTACCCTTGTGGATGCTCCAGAAAATTCCAGAAATGCTGTCATTAATTGAGCATCAAAAATATTAACGATTTCCGGGTGAGGATTCCAGACAGGGGCGTAGGAATCGGGGGGCCAGGGAGCCAAGCCCCCCCCCCAAGTTTTCAAAAGTGCCCTTTTTTCGGTGGCAAAGTGCTCTTTGTGTTCGTGAAAAATGTTGTTCAGATTGCATTTTTGCCTCAATGGCCTTTGATTAATGCCAATATTTTCGCACATTTCCGGGGAAAATGTTTTAGGTGCCCTTTATGATTGCATATACGAAATCATGGCATTTTCGCGGATACTATTTAACTGAAATCGTAAATCGGTAAATGTTTTTCGGTTTATTACTTCTCAGGGCCAAAGCAACCGCAAGGAGGCTTGGGGGGGGGGAGGGCTGCAGCTCTCCCAGTAATTTGCTAATAACCATTCTTTTTTCAAAATTATGCAGACCTTTATCATTTGAATATCATATTATCCATACTTTCAACTTTCTCAATAGTCGAAGGATTTTTTACCTGCATATAGGTGACAGAATAATAGTGTGGTTGGGTGGGAGAATTGGAGAAAGGCCAGACAAACTCGATTTTGGGTACGGGAGCTAGGAGTGTTCCCCAAAACAATTTGAATCTAGAGGCTGTTAAGTTCTGGCAAAGATTTGTTTTAGCCAACCACTCACAAAAACTGTTTCAAAACATCTAACTGAGAATCATGGATATTCAATATATAACAACCTTAAATTAGCATTTGTGGCAGCAAAGAATATTAGATCCTCCAACTCCAATCTCTTTTGTGGAGCTTCGCTCTCCCCAATTTTACCTTCTTTTTCATTACCCCAGCACGTAGGTGATTTGTGAGGAAAATAGGAGGGTCTGGAATCAGGGGCGTAGGAAGCATAAAAAATTTGGGGGTCCTCGGTTTCGAGGGGCACTTTTAGAATGAAATGGGCACCCAAAAAAATTTTCCAGGAAATGTTGGCGACGGGGGGGGGGACCGTAGCTAGCATGTATAGTTAGGAGGTGTAGTCCAAAAATTTCCGAATGACGAAACACATTTCCGAATATTTCACGGCCTACGAAGCCACGAAAAATACGCATATTTTACAGAAGCATGCAATGCCGTAGGCTGAATCTCTTTTTGATTGGGGGTTGAGAACGAGGGCCAAAGGTCCGAGAAAATGTTTAACTTTAGAGTCTCTGAAATGCCATTTCCTGGACTTTGGGAGGTTTTGACAGAATTCTGATGGTCAGAAAACATCGTTTTAGTATGTCCAAATTTACAATTTGCTTGCAATTTAGTTGTACTAAATGGGCGAAGGCGTATTTAATTAACTATATATAGGGGAAAGTTGAAAGTATGGATAATATGATTCTTTGCAGTTTGTCGTGGATAATGTAACCGCTTAAAATTAATCAATTGTCATTATTTTAAAGGTCTGCATGATTTTGAAAAAGATCTATGATAAAGGTCTGCATGATTTTGAAAAAAAAAATATCAGTATATTAGCAAATTATTAGCAAATTATTGGGAGAGTTGCTGCCCTCCCCCAAGCCCCCCCCCCCCTCGCCGTTGCTTCGGCCCTGAGAAGTAAAAAAAACCCGAAAAACATTTACCGATTTACGATTTCAGTTAATTAGTATCCACGTATTAATGCCATGATTTCGTATATCAGTTTATACTGACAATACAATTATATTATGTTTCTCTGTTTAACAACTAAAATTTTTCGAATGGCCAACCCGATTTTCCGAATATGTTAATTTAAAAAAAGTTGGGGGGTTGACCCCACCGCCCAATACCCTTTCTCGCTACGGCCCTAGGGGAGGGAAGAAAAATAAATGCAATCATAAAGGGCACCTAAAACATTTTTCCCGGAAATGTTGCGAAAATGTTGGCATTAAACAAAGGCCATTGAGGCAAAAATGCAATCTGAACAACATTTTTCACGAACACAAAGGGCACTTTGCCATCGAAAAAAGGACACTTTTGAAAACTTGGGGGGCCTTGGCCCCCTAACCCCCCCCGTTCCTACGCCCCTGATCAATGCTTAAACAAGTGCGAGCTTTGGATGAGCTAATATTTTTGACTTTGTTCTTTTCGTTTTTCTTATTTTTAACCGGCTTTTGCGGTGTTGATTTTGATTGCTCCTTAACAGAGATTTCCTCGCGCTGTTCTCGTTGTTCGCAGCATTTTCGACAGGAAGCCACTTTGAAACCAGCCTTCCATCCTCTCGATGTTTCTGGAGCAAAACGAGAGTACATGACGTTGATTTGTTGCACACAGGTTGTTCACAATCTATACATACATAAGATGTTGTAGTTCCACAAACAGTGCAAGACATAATTTATACTCGATTTTGTCAAGAAACTATAGTAAATCATGCATATCTATTTCGTTTTGATGAGTACCCGGTATGACGTCACGACGGTGCTAAAAGGCGTTCTCGTCCCAGTACTTTCATGCTCACGGACAAACGCTCAAAATAGGAAAAATCGCCCAACTTTGAGCCCCTGAAAGTCAATGAAGATCAAATTTTCGAATTATAAAATATATTGCAAAAGTTCTTAAAATCACCTAAACTAGGGACGGACCATTAGAAAAGTGATGGGGGGTAATTTTTTGTGTTTGCATTTTTTCCCCAGGTTGTCAGCTGTGTATGCATGTTTTTTTTAAATATGTCTTCTCGCATGTAATTTTTTTTCCATTACAACTATACAAATGTTAACGAAACTGTTCTCTTGACAAAAAATATCACTTTAATACACACTGCAAAATAATATCTTTAAGGATATTTTAGGCTAAGCCAGATATCATTTAATGATATAAGTATGGCAGAACAAATGAGCAAAAGGAAGAAGAAAGAAAACATGATAAAAGAAAAGAGCAAGATTAACTAGAGGAAAAGAAAATGTAGAAGAAGATATTGCCATTGAGATTATATTTATAGATCAGGAAGATAGTGTCAGTTTGATAGATGAAGGGGATAGCGGTAGTTTGATTGTAGATGAAGAAGATAGTGTCAGTTTGATTGTAGATGAAGGGAAATGTGGTAGTTTGGTTGTAGATCAAGAAGATAGTGTCAGTTTAATTGTAGATCAAGGGAAAAGTTGTAGTTTGGTTGTAGATCAAGAAAATAGTGGCACTGCGATTTCAGGGCCCCCCGGTTCAAAACTTTCGAAGGCCTCCCCTAGTAGAAGTGCCAAAGGCACAAGTCAAGCGCCATATATGCACACGTTTTCTAGGGGGTCCAGAGCATGCTCACCCGGAAAATTTTTGAATCTAGATTCTCTGAAATACCATTTCCCGGAGTTTGGGGAGAGATTTTCCCTAATTCTGATGGTCAGAAAACGACATTGTAACATATCAGAGGCCCTGGCCAATGTTTTTGCTCTATAGCCTGAGCCTGGTGCCCCATTTGGCCCATTGGGGTTGGGGGCCTCCGGGTTCTCCCGGTCCGAGCCCATAGTAGTTACGCCACTGATCGAGGACAGTGGCAGTGTGAATGAGGATTATGAAAGACAATAGAAAATATTTTGATAGAATATAATAAAACTATATGAGAGTTACTGTTAATATTGAAAGAAATTGCATATTAATATATTATATATTTATATATTTATATTTCGTAATATTAATTCCAAAGATTTAGTTCAATTTTGTCTGATGTTCTATTGTTGTTCTGTTTGTAATTTTTTTTTAAACAAGTTTGTTTGCATGTATTTTTTTTCAAACATTTTTTGTTTGCATGGATTTTTTTTCTGCTCCCCCCCATCACTTTTCTAATGGTCCGTCCCCTATCTAAATAGGCTAATTCCCTGACTATGACATAGGCACATCGCACGGCGGAGTTCGCGTTGATTATCCAAAATTTGTTTCTGATCATGATCTCGTTCAGCGTCATTCCTCTTCCTGCGTGGCCGACTTTCTCATGGCAATAGAGAGTTTGGCAAATACAAGGGCAACGGCAACGGCAATATGGTCATTAACAATAGCATCAATCCTCAAAGACAAAGGCGAATGTAAATTACATGGTCTTAAGCGTTGTGCAATGCCGTAGTTGTTGAAACTAGTACGTGATTTGCCGGTGCATGACTACGGCAACAGTTAATTCGTTCGATGTTAGATGTTATTTGAGGTGTTTTATTTGAATTCGCGGACTATTTTTACTTAAGGGTACGTTTGAAAGAAACAGGAATACTTAAAGAGGCAAATTAAGTGTAGTAACGTATACTTTGGCTCAAATACAACAATATAAGCAATTATATTTTCCCTGTTGCCGTTGTCGTTGCCGTTCTATATAGGTTGCCAAACTGTCTAATGACGAATAATCAAGGTGGTAATGTAAGAGCAATGAGGATTATTAATGGCTATGATACGCCCTACGATGTTGCACTCGAATTATCGAGTTTGGAAAGACTGTCGGCCTATCGGGACAATCTCTGTGATGATCTTTTATTAAAGGTCTCCCGTAATACAAAGGACAAATTGCATAATCTTTTACCTTTTAATACGAACAGAAATTTACCTTTAAGAAACATTAGGAAATTTTCCGTTCCCAAGTGTAATACGGACCGTTTAAAAAAATCCTTTATTAACATTACAGGATACATTATATCGAAGTAACTAGACTCAGTTCCGAATTCGAAATATCGCATACTGACCGCGTAGCTCAGTTGGCAGAGCGTTGGGCTAGTATTCCAAACATCGTAGGTTAGAATCCCACCGCGTGGCCGGGCATATTTTTCAAGCCTGTCCAGTGTGGATATACACTCAGAGTAACATCACACAGCATTTTATTCACCTGAGTACATTACACCAACACAGCAAATATCATTACAGCTAGTCGTTAGAATGAGTTTTATTGTAAATAGTTATATAGTTTTTATGGAAATTTTTTAAATTACCTGTTGTAAACATAATCAATTCAGTTTGTAAACTGTAATTTATGTATATTTAATAAACTACTACTACTACTACTACTATTACTTAATTTCGGTCTTCTTGCGTCTTTTCGTCTTTCTGTCGTCGTCGTGATTCTCAGTCATCATGTACTGTTTCTAACGCAGTAATTCTCCATAAAATGCCTGTTTCTGGATTAACTTCAGAATTACGATTTCTGCTCGTTCCATCTCACTAACTGTAATGGGTCGTGGTAACTTATAACTGTCGTACTGTCAGTCCAATAAATATCTTGTGATGCATTCAATTCTTTCTTCATCATGGTTCCAATCTTAGCAAACAGTAAGGCGGCTGTAAGTTCGAGACGTGGTATGCTGGTGGGTTTCAAGGGTGTGAGACTGGTCTTTCCATTAGGAATGAGCAGAAGATTTCTCCTTTATCATCAACTTGTCTTATATACGATACTTGACCATAACCAATGAAACTAGCATCGGAAAAACTGTGTATTTGTTGGTTGACGACCGTTCCAAAGCTTTCTGGCTTCAAGCATCGCGCTACAGAAAACTGTTTAAAGTGGGTAGATCAGCTCTCCATTTTTCCCAGAGACTGCGATATTAGTCTGGAAGCTTGTCATCCCAGTCCAATTTATCTCTGCAAAGATTCTGCAATATCTTCTTGCTGGGTAGTAGGATTGGTGATACTATGCCAAGGGGATCGTATATCGAACTAATGGTGGATAGAATACCACGACGAGTCAATGGTTTGTCGTTTAATATGATCTTAAATCCTAATTCGTCAGATTCCAACGCCCATTGGACACCAAGAGCTCGTTTTATCGGAAAATTGTCACGATTAAGGTCGACGCTTTTGGCTTACTTAATTCGATCGCTCTTGCTCGGTATCTTCTCCAACACAGATCTTTTGTCGCTTGTGAATTTGGTAAGGTGGAAACCGCCTCGAGCACAAATACGAGTAACACCATCAACTCGCTCAATATGGCCCTTTCTTCGGTCGGTTCTGATCTGAGACAATCGTCTACGTAAAAGTTTTTCCTCCAGACGTTCGCAGCTTCAGTCCCTTCTTCATGCTGAAAGTCGTCGGCCGTTTTCTCAAAGCATAATTCGCACAACTTGGCGAAGAAATGGCTCCGAACAAGTCCACGTTCATCTGATATTCTTCTAGAATAGTGCACATTCATCTGATATTCTTCTTCTTCGTCAAATCTCCATCCGGCCACCACAAGAAGTGTAGATAGTTGCGATGATCTTCTTTTACTCTTACTTGATGAAACATACCTTCGATATCACCCATAAAGGCAACTTGTTCTTCGCGAAATCGTATGAGGGCACCAATTAGAGAGTTGGTCAGAGCAGAGCCTTGGAGCAACTTATCATTCAAAGACATCCCTGCAAATTTTGCGGTGCAATCGAATACAACTCTAATCTTCGTTGGTTTCTTTGTATGGTAGACTCCATGATTGGGGAGATCTAGGGATAACTAGGCTGTAATGTAACCTATAACAAATCGACTTACGAGTAGCAACAATAAACACAAAGCAACATTTTTGTAAGCACTACAGCGTTCAGGAGTAGAAATTGACTATTGAGAATTGATTTTAAGCAAGCAGACCGTGTTTCAATATCATACTATTCTATCATGTTGCTAACAATTTTAAAAAGTAGCGAATAGCGGTTCGCTGTTTGAAAAGTAGTCAACTACTTGGCTACTTTTAGGCAAAATGTAGTTCGCTGTAACTGCAGCTACTGTTTTAAAAAAGTAGTCAAAACTACTAGCTACTTGAAATTTGTAGTTCGAGTTTAGTATCAGTTCCCTGAGTATCGTGCTGGTTAAATACTTCTTCGGAAATGAAAGTTCCCGTACTACAGGAGTCCAACATAGCATAAGTGATGATTTCTCTCTTCGCACTTTTTATCTCTACGGGAACGATTGGCATCGAAGCGACATGACAATTACCGTTACTGAAATCGTTGATAGAAACGGAGCAAGTAGTATTGAGAAGATCATTGTACTTATCTTCTGTCTGGGTGCTTGAATTGACGTTGCCACTTTTTTAGGAGTTTCTTCTATCCCTCTACTCTTAGGACGGAAGGGTCGTAGGATGTCGTCCCGAACAAATTTTACAGGATCTTTTCTTTATGCATGCATCCTCTTGATCTATGTCCTTCAACGTAGCATGCATAACATAGCCCCTTTCCCAATATTTAAAGCTCTTCTGTTCACGAACTCTTTACAGTCGTCAAGCTAAGATCATGCAATCCATTGTACGCGATGCAAGGCTTAGGCTGTGTTCTACCACTTAAAGTAACGTTACTAGTGTATCTTGGTACTGGCCCTTTTTTGGGGTTTATTTTTGTCGTCGTTACCGATCTTTTCAAGAACTTGTCGTGAGAAGACAGGATCCATTGCTACCTATGCTTCCTCTTTAACGAATTTTACGAAGTGCTCAAATTCTGGAACTTTCTTCCTTTCTCGTATCAGTATTACTTCTCGTCTCCAACGCTCTTGTAGGAAAAACTGGAGCTTTTTTACCAAAGACTGCAGGTTCTGTGGATGATCAAGAATGACAAGATACGACAGCGACTCCATAGCATTTTGATATTGAGTAAGGAAAGTTGCAAATATGTCTAAAGCTGCACCGTCACCAGACTTGAGGACGGGCCAATTAGTCACTTTTGATAGGTATGCGTTCGATACTTTGTACGGATCACCGTACTTTTCTTCTAATAGTTTCTTACTCTCGATGTAACCACTACTGGGTTCCATATGAAGACATCCTTTGATGAGCTCTTTCGGTTCTTCTTGGAGATGTTGTTCTAAATATTGAAGACAGGCTTCGCTTGAATTCAGCGCTGCCTTGATTCGATTCTCGTTTCAAAAGTACGTATGAAAATATGATATTCAGTTGGATCACCTTTGAAAATTGACAAACCAAGTGGAGGCAAAAGACTTTGTTGATGTTGATGGGATAGGATCTCTGTCAGTTATTTTATCTTTCAAGTATCTGTATCAGCGGGTCAGCTGGTTGATCTACGGGTTGTCTGACAATAAATTTCACGCCACCTTGACCAAGAGGGCGCAAAATACGATCAGCGCGTCACATGCGTGCCTGAAACTAGGTTTTGCTGCCTTAAAATTTGCGGGTGGGATTCTGAGCAACCATTTGTTAAATCCCCGGGGTCTTTAGCGACTATAACAATACCCGGCCCCCGTGCACGTATATGAAAGGCAAATTCCAGACCCCCGAAAACTGTCTATCAGGCAAATTCCCAGGGGTGTCGCGGGGGATGGTTACTCCAGGAATTAACTCATGCATTACATAAATGAGTGCCTGTGCTCTACCCTTGATGAGTAAAATCGTTTGGTGTTAGACAGAGTAAAATAATAAAGTAGGGCACACTGGGGTATAATACAAGTTAATGGGTTAAGTAGACATACAGGCAGATAGTCTGATTACCGAAAACCTCAGAATATAAGTCCCCCTGAGTATAACCCCCCCCTGAATAAGCCCCAATGGAGAGAGAGGTGAATAATAATGTATTGTAATGGATGCCATAATAATAAGACAGGGCATTTGTAGACTTTTCTCCCTGCACAAAAGGGGGGGGGGGGAACCAACCCTCAATGCCCCGCCGATTCCACGGCCTCTGGTTATGAGGGAAATAAAATGAACGGGGGAGGGGGCTAGGCGGGAAAGGTTAGGAAAGGAGGCATCTCAGGAGTTGCATTCTCGTACCCAGAGCCCTTCTTACGCGCGGTCCACGTAGCGCGACGAGGGGCTCTGGCCAAATCCATAACCGGATACCATAAAAAACATGGTTAGAAAACAATATCCGGGTGTTAGAACTAACCAATATAATCAGATGCCAGTTTGGATATGGATTTGGCTAGAGCCCCTCGTCGCACAGCGCGTAAGAAGGGCTCTGGGTAGGAGAATGGGAAAGTTGCTGAGAAATCAAAACACTTTCACGGATGAGAAGTTCATCAGGGGAAAAGCGCAAGATGACAGAATTTTGAAATCATCAAGAAAACCTGTGTACATACATGGGTGGAATTCTTTAGATGCAAAATTTGCTAATAAGTGTTACCAACGGGAAATGCCAAGGTGTTCTGAGACTCATCATAGATGATCATAAAATTCAGTATCATGTAAATTATTGGGGCGACTGTTAATTAAAATTCACTAGGCAACAACTCTAATTTTAATTTTAAGGCAATCATGACCAATATGCCAGGGCCCGCGGAGCGTATTAGAGAGTGGGGGGGCTAAATCATCAATAAAACCCCCAATTAATTAATTTAGAAAGTTTCATTTAGATTTCTATTTTAATAATTTTGGCTGTCAAAAAAAGTGGGGGGGGGCTAAAGCCCCCCCAGCCCCCCCGTCTCCGCGGTCCCTGTATGCCAGTACAATTCTTGTTTCTAATGAGCTATACAATAACTCCAGTAATACATATAGCTCAGTGATATGGCGACAAAAAGTACGTCTTTCTGGTGGGCAAATTTTCGCGATGAAATCATTTTGACGTTTTGTGTGACATTTCTATGGCAACTTCGCAAGCGGGACAACTTTAACAAGACTTGCTTCGAGAATATCGACACTAAAAAGTGAATATTATCGCCAAAATATGGACGGAAAATTTGGGAAAGAAGGTCCAACATAATATACAGATTGCATTTACTATAATTTTGTTATAATGGCGGCTAGCATTAAGCTAGAGAACTTAGGATTGCAGCTCGAACACGATGACATATTATCCAAGAAGGAGTCCCGTGTTCATTGCCCAGTTGTTATGCCTAGAAACCCGAAACTTATTCGTGGTGAACCTGTACAAGAAAAGGTAATATAAAGCAATGTAGTATTAGCAGTGAAAAATTGTGGATGTCTGGTTTAAAACGTGCAGTAAAACAATTGGTTTTGCAGCCAACATTGTACGTTGTCACTTGGTGTCGTATCTAGTATGGTCACTTTTCGTTTCCCGCGAAAATTTGTCGTAAATCTTTCATTGAAATGTCTGAATTGACTGTTGCAAGTGTCGTCATGATTACACACGAATATGTTTACACACGAATATGAGTGCCTCTGTGCTCTACCCTTGATGAGTAAAATCGTTTGGTGTTAGACAGAGTAAAATAATAAAGTAGTGCACATTGGGGTACAATACAAGTTAATGGGTTAAGTTGACATATAGGCAGATAGTCTGATCGATTACCGTAAACCTCAGAATATATTTAAGCCCCCTGAATATAAGCGTAATAAGCCCCCCCCCTGTGTATAAGCCACCTCATTCCAAATATAAGCCCACCTGAATATAAGCCCCCCCCGAATATAACCCCGAATATAAGCCCCCGAATATAAGCCCTAGCCCACTACGTTATTCAACATTGACATTCAGTCTTTTAATATAGCAGAGAACGATTTTTAAAAACATTGTCATTGTGTTTATCGCTTACTATGTTAATCAAAGCATGTTATTATTAATACATGTTTATTTTCCTGTCTATGACTGACTTGTTCATTACTGTCTAACACAAAAGATTGTCCATGTATAAGCCCCCCCCATATATAAGCCCCCCTCCCCTTGTATAAGCCCATCAAAAATTGCTTGCGAAAGATTATAAGCCCAGAGCTTATAGTCGGAGGTTTATATGGTAACCCATTACATTATATGCTTGCCCCTTGACAAGTAAAATGAAATTGTCTGTTGTAAAAATTATAGAGAAATAATAAAGTCTCATAAATGACTCTGACAGTAATATCTCGGTCAAAGTTTCAACACGAGAAACAAGAAGAGCAAGTAATGGAACTTTCCTAAATGTGAGAAAGTGCAGAACTGTCAACTACCAGAACAGTTTTTATATAAGAGCCGCGAGCGTGTGGAACACTCTTCCTCGTTATATTAGAGACACAACTAAGTCTATAGGATCATTCAAAACATTACTACGCAAGCACTATAAAGATCTAACGGACAGTGTTTTCAACCCCAATGACCTGAGAACTCTTAAGTCAGTTTGTGTGAAATGTCACACAAGTCGTCCTTTATGGAACTTATTATCTAGACCATGTTGTTAGGTCAATCGAACCTTATATAGTGACCCATTATTGCGCGTGCCAAATGCAATTACCATAATGCTATAATGAATATTACTTTATCTTATGGTTCAACTCCGTGTACGAGACTACGAGTATAGCATTTTGGCGGTTGTGGACGGTGTGTGTAATAGGGAAAGCAGTCATAATGGTTAAATTTTAATATAGCTTGCTCGATACATAAACAATCTTAACAGCTTCAAATTACTCTAGTACTTCATTCACGAGTTCAGAATTTCAAATAGGATCTCATGTCGTAATGTCTTATCGTTGTTTGTTTCAATTTGTGGCCTGTTAATTTGTTTATCTGTTTATTAGTATGTCTAATATCTGTCACGCCATAGTGTAAATTATTGTTATGTTTATGTATGTTGTGGAACCCCGTTATTGGAGATTTTATCTCTGTGTGGTCATTCCAGCCATTGTGTGTAATTTATAGTTAGTTTATATCTTTAATAATGGCAAATTTGTAAAATTAAAATTAAAGTAGGGTGCATTGGGGTGCAATGCAACTTAATTTAATGGGTTACAGTTTTAATTGGTTACTGTAATTAAGGCAGAAAAAAAGTATCCTGTTTCTGGTCAGCATGTGCATGAATCAATGTAGGCACAATGTGTCCAAATGCACCCTACGTTGTTATTTACTCTGTCAAACGCCAGACAATTTTACTCGTTGGGGGGGGGGGGAGTGCTGCCACTCAATGGGTTAAGAGAGAGTTAAACATGATAGGTAATGAAGCAGGGAATGCATGGAACCAGGGATGGATCCAGCATGATCTGGTAGTGTTGGGTGCTCTGCCAGCTCTGGTGCCCAGTTGTGTCGGTCATGTGTGCCGCCCGCCCATCAACTTGCTTCACTAAGTGCAAAGTCTTGCTTGACTACTGTATTTGAATTGTAATTGTTGTTCACAGTTCACTTATCATCATGTTATTACCCAAATTACTGTATCTCATTTTGTCTCTAATAATTTTTTGCTTTATCATGAAAAATAGCGCCCCCTCCGCACCTCCTCTGCACCCCCTCTGGCCAAGGCTAGTGGAGGTGCACCCCGGTGGGGGTGCACCCCCCGCACCCCCAGGAAATCCATCCCTGCATGGAAATACATGTCCCTGGCAGGAATCGGACCTGCGGCCCTGCAATTCTGGTGAAGCGCTCTAACGAACTGAGCTACAGAGGCCAGTTGTTGAGCTCTTATAACCACAAGTTCATGTATATAACATACAGTAGTAGGGTACTGCCATTTATAGGTTATTCCTCGGGGACATCAAGCCTTGTGACATCATGTGAACCAGGGTCTTAGCTGGGATTTTAGATCTTGGGCGTGTTTCTAAATGACCTGGGTGTGCATATTTCTCAGTTATGCTCGTCCCATTATCCATCAAAACATTAAAACATCTCAGATCACTTTTTCCAATTTCATCAATTACAGTAGATTTTAGAAACTTTCTTACGACGTAAATGGGAAGAAATTCTGTCTGTTGTAAGTAGCACCACCTTATTTTATGAACCTACACGGGCTTATATAAATAATGAAGCTGCGTTCATTTTATCTAGCCGTGTTTTTCTATTTTTGGCCGCGATAACACGGTCGACACGGCCTCTATAGCTAAGACCCTGATGTGAACAAAACATATACTATCATTGCATCAATAATGGTAGAAGGAATGTTCATCAACTGGATTCTGTAGATCAGTTGTTTAGAGTGTAATTGGTTTTCCTAACATTATAGCAAGCACCATCAGCATTCCTTGCGGAAATGCAACTAACAACAGAAGAAAAATTAAAGCTAACTTGTGAAATGAGGATACCGCAGATTATAGAGCTTCTGGATATGTCTGAAACGACACATCAAAAGGTAGGATAGCCTGAGGAATGAAGTGTATATGATTTTATTACTACATGATTGTAAATTCAAAAGTGAGTGACAAAACTTTTCTGCATCACATGTAGCTATACCAAATGGTCCGTGATTTACAGACACGAGTCCCAGAACAACTTGGCATTTCCCCTTAACTGGTAACATTAGAGTACAGCAGCCCACAACTTATATTACTAGCATAGTTTGCATTCCGGCGACACAGCCTCTCTTGACGATTTCAAAATTCAACTTATTTCCCGGTAATTTATTCATTCAAAACAACTCCCAAATAGTCGTTCTGGGCTCAAATTTGACTCTTTCAATTTTGCGGTGTATACATTCCATGCAGGGTGTGATAATTTGTGTGCTTATGTATTGGATTTTGAGGGGAGTCATGCACCTCCCCTTGGGAAAGTTTCAATGACAGATCAAAGTGAAAATTTGACATTTTTTTGTTGCTTAACAGGGTCTGCACTGACACTACGTAAGAAAGTTTTTCTGTAAAATTGAAACAGGATAGCCATTCATCTCTGTACAGACTTTTTTTGATAATTTGAACAATCCCTCTTTGTTTAATGCAGCAAATCTTCTACAGGCCATTCTGTTCTGGGTTTGAAATTTGTTTTTACACGCTGATCATGTCAAAAGCAGAAATAAAATGTCAGCTAAGTACTGGATATTGAGAATTAGAGCAGGCCATGTTCATTACATGCTACGCCGAATATATTCGGGGTCACTGTGCCACAAGACTATTTTTACCCATGCAGTTTCAGGGTCTTAGCTAGGATTTGAGATCTTGGGCGTGTTTCTAATGACCAGGGTGTGCGCATGTCAATTACTTTGAGCAGCCAAATTCACGGTTCTAGTTATACTCGCCAACAACAGACAATGCCTGTGGCTGTTCTATGGTTTGCAACCAAATTCAAGACGAGCATACGCTCATACTGCGCAGTGACATTAGAATATTAAGTTATTTCAGCAACTCTTGGGGGCATTTAAAACCATACAGTTCATTTTAACACCATACAGTTCCCATTATCCATCAAAACATTAAAACATCACGGATCACATTTCGTAAATTGGAAGAAATTGTGTCTGTTGTAAGTACTGTAGCATCACCTTATTTTATGAACCTACACGGCCTTGTATAAATAATGAAGCCGCGTTCATTTTATCTACCCTTGTTTTGCCACTTTTGGCCGCGATAACACGGCCAACACGGCCCTCTAGCTAAGACCCTGTGCAGTTTAGGATACAGGACAAATATTTTTGGAAAGGCTGTAGATTTTTATCAGTGTTTCAGTCAGTTTGACTGGTGTACTAAGCTTTCACAACATTGATTGGCATCAATGTTCAGCATGCACTGTATAACCAACAAACTTTCCACTTTTGGCCCAACTAATCGGGAGGTCCACATTATTGAATAAATAATTCAATTTGCGTTCATACTGTATGAGAAACGAGTCAGCCCGGATAAGTGAGATGTCACCTAACTGCGTAACATAACATATATGAATCAGTGTATTAATGAATTATGACTGTGTTAGACAGTGTTCGACGAACAGTTAGTATAACATGACGTTTATAGAAACGCGATATGGTCAGTAGGACCGCGGGCGAAAAACGAAATGAGCACGTTGAAAGTAAACAAGTGGACAAACCAAGAAGGAGTATTATTTCCTCATATAGTAAAGAAACCATTTAGCATTTGGGGGCTCAGACGGGAAAGATTTTGAAGGTTTTATGAGGAAAATCAACGCTAAAAGACGGTGCGAAGGTGAGAAAGCGACCCGGATGTAAATTATAGTTGATGATATTTGGCTTTGTTTAACATATTTATGGATGGAATCTGAGAATTGTGAAGAATTATATGTTTCAAGTACTCGGCGATGTTGGACGGTGTTGACTTTTTGTATTAACAGAAGGTACTGTTAAATATTTATATTGGATAATATAGTATAAAAAAAGACACGACCTTTGTACTGTGACAATATCAAGATGTCAGACCAAGAAATAGAAAAAACGTTAATAGTTATAGAGTCGGAAATACTCACCTTAAATCTTAAAAATGCACTACAACTTGCTAGTAGCATGAAGCTCGAAGAGTCAAAAGTCAAAGTATATATTCAGTGATAAAAATTATTAGGCAAGATATAGAAAAAAAGGTTGGAAACTTGTCTGATAAGGAAGCTGTTATAGAGTACTTAAATGACATTAACGCTTTTCTTGCCCCCCCCCCCCCCCCCCCCCCCC